GCTTACCACATCGCGAGAGGAACCCTTAAATCTTTTGGGGGTGTAAAGGTTTCGAGGCGAAACGTAGCCTCCATCTTCGTGATTTGGCCCATCAGCTTTATTATGCACGTAAAAGAGTCCACAGCCATTTTTTCATCTTGAAATCTACGGAACTTGTAGGGAATTTTTAGGGAGCTTGAGCTTTCAATTTAGTCAAATTTTTGCAAATTGTGATGTGCTTTATGCTTGTAACCATTTGGTGCAAAACCACCTGCTCGATTTGACTGGCCTTTAGAGGTGAGGGAGAAGATAGAAGGTTGGAATATAACAAATAATCATTTTATTATAGTTGCATGGCAGTGAATTCCACTGGATAACGCTAAAAATTAACAATGAAGGCCCCATAGAGGACAACTTCAGAGCAAGTCGTAGCTGGGTAAAGAGTTTTGAGTCTATCTTTGGGATCACGTCCTTCCTCATCAATATTTTCACCTCAAGAAAAGGTTTCACAACAATTAGTGGATCATCAGTCGTGTACATAGATCGATAAACTATTAGCATTGCTATTTACATTGTTTCCACAGCACTGTTTCAGAAATGCCAGTAACTTTGTACCAGCGATAGTATTCCCTCCGAAGAGGGGTCTAGTCAGATGAGTCATTCAAGCTCCACCTAGCGTAAGTGCAGGAAGATTTCGAAAATTTTCAAATACTACCTTAAGTACTTATGTGTTCGGTGCAGAAGGGCACATCTATTCGGTCAAGGTGCGTAAATAAAATTTTCATTTGGTTACTATTTCCAGAATCTTAAAATGTAGGGGTTCACTAGTCGTCAGTGTTTGACGTGAAATCGTTTTGTAAGCGTTTTGCACGCAAACAAGTACGGAGAAGCAAAACGAGTTCATGCATCATAGAGGTGGACCTCCATGTCATGCTTGCAGGTCCAGTACCCTACCACTAATACATGTATATTGTATATAGTAACACCATGAGTAATGATTGTATTGTATTGTATTATTATAATAAGAGACACCCATTGGAGAAAATAATTTCTGGGCATTTGCTTAATAAGCTCCTGCATTCAAATAGTTTTTGAAAACCTACTGTCAACTGGAGGATCCTGAACCTGTATATCCCTCTCCTCTTGGTTTTCGCGGATTTGGATCTGTAAAACATATTAATGCTTTTGCGTAGAAATAGTATAAACGATCATGCAATCAGTGGTACTATCATACATCCAATATGATTGGAATGATTCTAATATGTGAAAATAAGCTTCTTTGGGAACTCCCTGTTCACAGTAAATGTTGAATTGTAAGATCGACAGCATATTATCTGTAACGTTCCCGATTTTCCTCCGGGAATACACAGTTACAGAACGAGCTTTTGGAGGAACACATGGAACATTTGGCATAATGCATTATTTTGTATTGAGAAGATAGATAGATAGGTTTTCCAGTTAGAACCGAACCTCTCTGGAATTCCATTTTTTAAGAGCATTAAGGGTTCAGGGTGGAGGTGCTGTAGTGGTAAGTGGCGCACTATCTCACACGGTCACGGCTTTGAATCCCGGATCGATATCCGCCCAGAACAACCACGCCTTCCATCCCTGCTGGATCGGTTGATTGATACCAAACTCGTCTAGGAGATTGAAAGTACTGACTTGTAACATCAACTGGCCACCGTAAGTCACTGTATAAGCCACATACCATTTAATACGCCACTACCATTCCGAAAGGAAGTCGAATGTGTGCGTGCATCCCTAAGACAGGATTGATTAACATTCCAAGATGTTAGCCCTATTTTTTATTAGGGGCTCAAAAGCCTGTAGTGTCGATGACCATACCCAGAAAAGAACGTTTGGAAAGGTCTCGCTGAGGCTAATGCAACTGTACATACAAGCCCATCATTCATATTGAAACATACTTGTCGAAAACAAAATCAGCTAATCGTTCAAAGTGCCTCTTTAGAGATTTCATTTCAATCTGAAGTACAACACAGCAGTCTACTCCACTGCCTGCTCCCTTCCGTTAGTTGATCTTCTGTTGAAGTTGCAGAGCTTACCACACTCCATTTTTCATGCTTACGGACAGCACTTTCAAAATCAAGGTGAGCCTTTATTTTTTTATTTTACCGCATGCACCCAGGTTTAAAGAGATCCGAGAAGATAGCACTGAGGTCGATGGACGAACTTGTCACAGCTCGTGGTGTGCAGGAATTGCGTGAGGCGTTCAACCATAGTCTACCCTCAACATCTTCACATACACAGCTTACACCGGCGAAATGACCATTTTTCCTTTCGTTCTCAAGACAGTTTCACTACATACGGTGGGAAAACTCATAGCTCTTCCATTTGGTCGTATGTGGATTAACTTTTGGTGAGAACTATGTCTTTGAGTTATGTTCAGCCCGGTCTCTTCTCGGCAGTGGCAGTGCGCGATTCAAAAAATAGTGCATGATGACTCTGGCACATCGATTGAACGATCTTGCATCGTGGTAATCCTTCTTTCAGGTATTTTCCATTTTCCATGATAATTCACAACACCTAACTTCAGTATTTCAGGGCCCAGAACCGTACTTTGCGAAAGGAGTTCGCTATTATATACATCTAAATCTTGATCTATCCTACTTTATATAATTGCTAGGTGTGTATGTTGATGTGTCGGTGTGGTGCTCGACCGGAAATTCATAACTCCTGTTCCGGTGGACCTAGAGAGCCTAGAGAGTTCAAATTTGGTAGGAGTACGGGTCTACAGGATGGAAATACTCATGGCAGGTAGCAGGACCAGACTCCGCCTACAGGGGGCGAGGGGTGCGCAATAGGAATTCTGGACCGCAGATTCATAACTACTGCTTACGTTGACCTAGTGGGTTGATTTGGTAGAACTACAAGCGACAGGATGGGAACACTTATGGCAAGCGGCAGGGCCAGACTCCGCCCACAGGGGCGGGGGGTTTGCGCGTAGTAAATGTTTGGGCGGAAATTCGTAACTCCCGTTTCCGTGGATAAAACGTTCAAACCTGGTAGGATTACAGCTTTTCGTAGTAACAGTGGAATCTCGGCATTTTAATAAGTGATGCAGGATATGAGGGGATCATTGCTACGCGGTGACGTGGACCGATAATAACTGATATAAGACAAGATAAGGAGTGTAAGAGAGAGACACCTACTACAAATCCTAATGCATTCGGTATTTACTATGCAGCTTTGACTGTTCAGTATGTTTTATTCGATAGGAAAAGATTGTAAAGTAAGGTGACAAAAGTGAGTGGTAAGTGCAGTGGTAGGAACCCATTAGTGGCACTACGATGTGCAGATGAGCATTTTGTTCATTTTTTGCTATCAGATTACGACCGCTAACCACCAAGGTTTGTGACTCAATGAAGGATCCTCTGTGTTCGATATCATTCGCGACAAAGGTTAATAGACCGCCAGTTATTTGGATCTCTTGACTAATGTTATCTCTGTAAAGAAAAAAGGTATTCTGAGGTTCCAGAACTTGTCGTTGCTTTGCTCGGAGTATCCAGTCGGTGGAGCATAGGCTGAGAAGAAATGCTGTTTTAACGTTCGGTGACGACAATGATCTAGGTCATCGAAGCGTTCCGCTTTCACTATCAAATCACGGAAGCGTTCAGAAACAATCATCCCGACGCCATTGACGGTTTTAGCACAACAATATAGAATGGCTCTGAAGCCGTGGCCAAAGTTCCTTGAATTGAAGCAGGACCACTTCGTTTCCTGTACGGCACGGAAATCACTTCGTCGGCTCGTACAAAATTGTGACCCAATGAAGGATCCTCTGTGTTTGATGAAAAGTTTCTCGGTAAAATGTAGTTGGGGGGGGNGGGGGGGGCCCACCCATCCGAAGGTCAGTATATCGAGAAATGAACTCAGTCTAACGTGTTAGCCTTGTTATATTAACACTGTATCGGATGCGTAGAGGATGATGGGGACCGACCACCTTAGCTCTTTTATGCTAAGGAAATCCAGTTTCCCAAATAAGCCTGGGCAGGGTAGGAGCACCTGGGTGGCTGGGATGATTACCTCCCGCAAAAAAAAAGAAAGAAAACTTGCCTAAAACTCCTTCCCTACGAAAGTCCTTATTTAAAAACAGGCATTTCCGCGATATAACAAGGCATAACGCGGTTCATTGAGTTCATTTCTTGTTATACTAGCCTTTGAATGGGTGCCCCCCCCACCTACATTTTCACCCAATTCTTGAACAAAGCTTCTGCTAACTCGTACGAGCGTCCCCTTAATGTGCCAGCATTCGATGTCGCAACGTGAGCCTTTCATACGTCGCAGGACTTCTGGACGAGCCTAGTTGACACTCGATGCCGTTCTTGCGCCGGAGACCCTCGCATACTCTTTACACACGCCGTTTTTTGCGAGTACAAGTCGGCTCCTGGCTGCTTTCATAGTCCGCCGGCGTGCCGGCAACCTGCGTGTCGGCGTGCCAGCCGAGGTAGTGCTAGGGGAGGAGGGAGGCAGACGGTCGGTCGACGCGGTCGCGTCGCCCCCAAGCTTCTTCGAAGAGCTGAAAAGAAAGAAATACGTGACCCTTCTTTTCAGCCCTTCGAAGGGGCTTGGGCGCAACGCGACCGCGTCGACCGACCGTTTGCCTCCATCCTCCCCCCCCNTGCCGGCACGCCGGCGGACTATGAAAGCAACTCCTGCGGGCGCTGTGCATTACTTCGAGATTAATACAGTGACGTTAAAATTGTAAAGTGGGTGTTCGCAGGCCGGCCTGTCATGGAGGCCTGTCACTTGCACTCGAATGGTCGTGATCACCTCAGCCCACAAAATGAGCAGTTTCCAGAGGCACTTCTTTGAGCCCGGCCATAACCCTCAGACTGGAAGCATCGAAAGACTATTTGGTATCAGCGACGAGAATAGTCTCAACACTACGCAGCTGTTGTATAGAAGTCACGTATGGAGGTGCTGTTAAACTGCAGCATGTCTCATCCGGTCTTCACTAAAGTCGTCGCAGAAAAGGTGTCTGAGAGTTCGCAACAGAATAACTACCAATCTGGAAGGAGAAGGGCAGCGCTACAGACTGCAGAAGCTACTGCCACATTCGCCTGCTCTCGCACAGCATGAAGATCTTCGAAGGAAATGTATGCGGCCGTACTTGAGTACTCGTTCAACTGTACACCAACCATCACGGTTTTGTCAGCGACTGAACACCGTTGCAATACAGACGCATAAAATCTTATCAGAAGAACATCGTTATAAACAGAGAGCAATTCTTCATGCTATTGTAGGCCTCATAAAACGTTTTCGATCATTCGCTATCAATGATCGATTACATGTAAATTTATATGGTATGCCTCACTCTGGGTTCCTGAAGAGCTTATTTAGTGAGTCCACATATTCTTCTCGAACAAAGCAGTAAAATGCAAACGACGCAGGTGCATTTTTGAAATGTTCTCTCTCCGTCGATACACACCTCCCTAGTACGTAGGTTGCCTTTTATATTTCGGGATTTGAGAACAGGAACAAATACTATTTATTGAAAATCGCTTGCCTGCCTTTCACAGTTCTCCACATTAAGATCTATACACTTCTGCGTGGGCTCGAACCAATTTTCGAACACTTTTACCAACTGATTAAGGTAAGTCTAAAACATGCATTCTGAACGAATCAGCGGCTCCTTCAGGTGTCAAAAAACGTTGACCTCTCATTTTATTTTTTACGTACGGGATGAGAAGAAGTCCCCCGGGGACTACATCGCTGGTGACCTGTCAAATCCTTGTTTTGAGTGCTCAAAAAGTGCAGTTGTTTGGGCCGATGTCTGGAAGCTCGCATTGTCGTAGTGAAGAGTGATCCGTCTTCAGCAGTTGGTTTTCCTGATTTCTTGGTAGTCAACTGGCGAACAAATGGTGGTATACCACTCAGAATTGACTGTTCTGCTTATTCCAGTGGTACGGTTGCGACATGTCCAGTTTTTCCAAATAAACAGGAGATCAACTGCTCGGAAGTGCTTGGTGCGCCGACAACTTTTGTTGGATTTGGCTCATCTTGAAAGACCCATACGGCGACTGCTATTTACTTTCGGGCTCATACGCATAAATCCATGATCCATCACCTGTCTCGATGTCATAGATGTGTTTCGAAGCATCGCGATCGTATTTTTTGGGCTTTTCTTTCGAACAATCGACACGAGTCCCTTTTTTGGGGGATTGACAAATTTTTCAAAAATAAAAATTTCAAAGTCAATTAGTCATTCAATTAATTTCAAAGTCAAATGTTCATGCAAAATTCAAAGTAAGCTAGTCTCACTAATGTCTAAGATTGCCTCAATCTCACGATAGGTCACATGACGAACTTGCAGTATTAGTTTGTGCACAGCATCAACCGTTTCTGGAGCGACAACTGATTTTGAACAACCTCCACGAAATTCGTCTTCGAGTGAACTACGACCTCGGGTGAACTCACTGCACCATCTATAAACACTGGCCCTGGATGTAGCTTCATCACTAAAAATTGAACTAAGTTCATCCATGCATTGCTGTTGAGTTCGACCACGTCGAAAGATGTAGAAAATAATCGCGCGAAAATGCTCACGGTTCAACTCCATAACTTGGCCCAAACCAAATCTTATAATTTAGTGTAAACAACACGAATCGCGCTCAAATTTCGCAACGGAACCTCAAAATAGTCAAATTTTACGATAGTGGTGTCATTTGCTAGATTGCTACGCTAGTGTTTCCAAATCCCGAAATATAAAAGGCAACCCTCGTACTATTCGTTGTCTTCGTAGATACCGTTACACGAGATCTTTAGAGGATAGCGCCATGGACGTTCTTCGAGCCGACACAAGGCTTAAGGTAAGTGTGCTGTATAAGTGTTACCACAATATACTTTAGCAACAGGTACCTTGGCCTAACTGTCTGGCAGTGTTTGGATTGCGGCAGATTGGTAAAAAGACCGGATACAGACCACGAAATCAAATGAGCCCGGCAACATCAAAAGTGACAACACGAAGCTTCCGGCTGACTCCGGCATGAGTGTGGGTTGGTCTGAATGACGCTCGATAACTGACCTTTTCTGGTAACAAGAAAGTACCAGATTGCCTTGAGTCCAAGATCTGCAGTACCGCAGTAGGATTAGACTAGCCATAAGAATTGGAGTGTTGGCCGGTGGCTGAAGAAATTGGAGTACGCCTTATAGTATCGGGAATGAAGGAGCTAGCCTGGACGGCCGAGCTTACCAGAAAGGGCCATATTTGCAACGATGCACTAAATGAGCGTGTACGAGTGGCCAACATTTCTGATCAGGAGCGCGAAGCTTGCCTTAAATGGTAAGGTTCTATGCGCGGATAAAAATAGTGCATGTAAGGTCGACCTCAGCCTCGACGTGCCCTAAAAACCGCCTAAGGGGCGTCAATGGCAGCGTTTTCTTGGCAGCGTGCATGAAGACTCAACATCAGACGTCGTTCGTCCCCATCAAGCATTCGGAAAAAGTGGCCAATTTGCCAGAAGCGGAGACCCGCTTTCGAGCAGAACGAATGCTCAAGCGCTGAAGATCTTGAACTAGATTCAATGTCTATCTATACAAAGTTTTTCCATATAGATCCTTGTTTGAGGACCATTTTGTAGAGCTTATCAAATTCAGTTTATGGTTCGCGCATTCTTTGAAACTTAAGTTTGAATTGGCATACAACGAAAACCAAAAAAGCGCGAGCCTCATTCTTCAAGCATTTTCGACAACTCTTCTTTCTCCATCATAACCTTAAGCTTTTCATCTTATTCGTTTACCTTCATTGGTAAGTTCAGTAATAACAAAGCCAGTAAACGCCGCGACAACTCACGTGCTCTCTATCTATTGAACTCTCCACACTGAAATTAGCAGTGGTAGTTCGACAGTGCCTGGAAATATTTGGTAATACGCTAGCAGGAAGTGCTTTATTATGCTAGGCCGCGAAATTTGTTGCGTATGCACTATACCATGGCTACGTTTTACTTATTCTGTACTTCACCACAGCAAATACAGTTACATGTTCTTGACTTGACAACTAGATAGCCAGCATGCTGACCGTTACGAAGTTACGGTTTTTTTTAACCAAAGTGCGTAACACAGCAAAAAAGAATGCGCAACTCATGATCTGTGACCCATTGATAAAGAGTCCTGAGTCGAAATATGCAGGAGTTTCTCGCTTATGGTATCCGTCGCAAAGGCAGGGATAGCCGAGTGGATGAGAGTGTAGGCTCACGTCTGCACTTAGAAGGAGTGCGAGTTTAAGGGTAACGGAACTTCTCCCCTATCGCGGCATTCTCCCTTGCGGCATGCGGTAAATGTCACTGCAACTACCGTACTCACCCCGCTTCCCCGCCAATCGATAGGACGCGATATTTTTCGTTGATTGCGTTGGCTTTTTATTGGATTTAATCGTTTTTTCTTCTGTTTCTTTTTCGTTTTCATGTTTATTAGACTTGATTAATTAAAATGACTCCTCTTATGTAAGCAGCGATCAAGACTGCATTGAAATTGAAGAAAGCGGCCAGCCAATTCAAATAATTAAAGGACTTTCTACCTCACAAATTGCGCGCTCCAAACTTCCATCGCAATCCTGCGATACGCGGCGGGTGCGGCGTGTGCGACGCCGTGACAAGGGAGAAGTTCCCGGACCCCGAGTTTAATCGTCGAGGCAACTCCGTGCCTTGCAAAAATTGCACAAATGGAGTCGGTTCCAGCGTCGGGCCCAGGTTGAAAAAATGGAATCGCTTCCAGCGTCAGGCCCAGGTTGACAGGCCGGTTGATGGAGAAACCAGTCACAATAAATTTGTCTAAAGTCTCAAAGAGTATCAGTGATGAAGCTAAGACGTCACCCGGTATGGCGCACAAGACCTCCGCCGGCGTTCTGTGGACAGTATGCGAGGGCTACCGAGGAGAGAACGACCTCGGCCAAGGAAGTTAGTTCGAATAGGGATTCAAAATGTGGGATCGCCTAATGGGAAGCCCCGGGAGGTCGCTGGTCTTATGAAGCGCAGAAACACCCAAGTCCTATGCCTTCAGGAGACCCGCTGGAAGGGAGCAAAGGGGAGAAAAATTGGAGAGAGTGTCAAACTCGTCTGCAAGGGAGAAGACACCAAACGAAATGGTGTGGCCGTAGCAGCGGCAGAATCCTTCGAAGACCCTGTCTCCGCCGTCAACAGGATCAGCAGTCGAATCATGGCTGTGAGGATAGACACAAAGGAGGGGCATTGGACAGTAACACCAGTGTACGCACCTCAAGCCGGCTGCGCTGCCCTGACTACGAAAAGGATGAGTTCTATCAGAGGCCATCCGATCAGTTCCGGAGGGGGACTATCTCACCACAGAGCAGGTGATCTGAATGGGCACGTCGGCATTGAAAGGAGGGGACTGGAAAGGGTACATGGAGGTAGTGAAGTATTAGTCAGAAACGAAGAAGGAGAGAGGGTCCTCGCCCTAGCCATAGCCCACGACTTGGCAGTCTGCAGCATCTTCTCTGCGAAAAGGAAGTCCCGGAAGGTAACCTACAGCAGTCGAGGGGAAGAAACGGAAATAGACCATGTGCTAGTAAGAAGGTCGTCCCTCAAAACTGAAAAGAACATCAAGGTAAAGCCCGGGGAAGACTGGCTCCACAGCACAGACCTCTTCTAGCAGACATAGCCATCGATTCTTCCAAGAAATCAAGGACAAGAACAGAACGGAGGATCCGGTTTTGGAAGTTGCAGCGATTCGAAAGAGAACCGGTCCCTCGAAGAGAAGATATTACTAGCTGGACTTCCAAATCCCGATGGGCCGATCCAGCAAACCTGGAGCAACGCTGTGAACGTCATCCTGCGATGTGCAAAGGAAACGCTGGGGGGAATTCGAGGTGTTTCCGAAGGGACAAGGAAGCAAGGTTCTGGAATGATGAAGTCCAACGAGTTGTGATGCAGAAGAAATCGGCTTACAAGCGCTGGCAAAAAACACGAGCTCCATAGGACCTAGCTGCCTACTTAACTTCCAAGAGGCTCGCCTAGGCTGCTGTTGCGAAGGCGAAGAACACGGAAATGGACGCCTTGTACGAGAAACTCGACAATCGAATGGGAGAGAAGTTCGTCTTCCGCCTGGCGAAAGCGCATCACCGCGCCACTCAAGACATCGGAGTAGCGAAGTCCGTCAGGAACAGTGAGGGTGCAATCCTAAGGAAGCCTAGCGAGGTCAGGCGTAGGTGGATGGAATACTTCGACGGACTCTTTAACGAAGAATTCGCCCGAAAAAACAGCTCCCAATTAGAGGCAACGGCTGGCCCCATCAATCTTTTGACAGAGAATGACGTGCGTAGAGCAATGGGAAAGAGTGCTACTCCAGTGAGTGGATGCGTATCTCCAGAACATGAATCTTCGTCAACAGCGTCCGTCTCGTGCAGTCCTACGATTCTGCTTCGTCTGCGGACATTTCTGGCTCCTCCACTTCCATGTCCTCATCTTCTGACCTTCGCTGGTGTATTCTTTCGAATTTCTCTGTCCATGAGTGAGCTGGCTCGACATTTCTTCAAGCGATTTTGTATAGCAGAAAGTCTTGGCCATCGTCTCCTGTGTAGTACCACGCATGGCCCTTTCCTCGTAGAGTGCTGTCGCGCGCATGCTTCTTATGGTCATATACAGCTCATTGATGGCTTTCAGCTGGTCGGCAATGATGGCTTTCATGGAGTCCTGTTCGATAGACAACTCGTCTTTCTTTCCCTCTGCATTGTAGTAGACCTGCGGTTGAGCCGTCATGAAGTCCCATGTTGTTTGTGAGATCCTCCTTGTCGCGACGAGGATTGGTGGTGAGGCGTATATGGTCCTGAGGGTTTTGCGGAGTAGGAGGAAGCGGGGCTCGTTTCTGCTTTCTGCTCTACAAAGTGCGCGCCTCGCTCCAACTCCCCGCAAAGCTCGTTGGACTGGGAAAAGAATGGAACTTCATCGTGTAACTGATCCAGGACAGTGCACTGATATTTGTCATCTCGGCAACCGTCCACGATCTTATCCAAGAGCGCATCCGATTTGGGGTAGTTTAATAAGTGCTCGCTGAAGATTCCTATAGTCGTATTTCCGCGTACTGTACTCCTCGAATCGATGGAACGAACTCATGGCCGAAACATTTCTGAAAGTTCTAGTTCACAGGTCCGCAATGAGCATTCTTTCGTAGCGAAGGCCTCAATGATGAATGCCCCAACATCAACAGCTACAGATCGAGACAGACAGATTCTAATCAGAGGCATAGGCATCAGCACATTTTGAATATCGTTTGCAAGCCCTATTGTTCCTCTATCGAGCTTAGTGTTTCGAAAAGCATCGTTCATTTTCCAAAGGAGTGTGCTGTTCGCCGTCTACCACAACTCTATCATAAGAAGGAAGGAAGCCCGGCGTTAGCAGGGCGGTCCGACTGTTTCTATATTTAAAGCGGTAATTTTGAGTGTCTGTTTGTATGCCGGTTTGTGCGTCCTTCCTCACGTAGGCACGACGAAGAGTGCGAATGTCAAGTGAGCGCGGTGAGGAAACAGTTATTAAATGGGAAGTCAACCGACACTGTTCATACTGGTCCTCTAGCAAGGCGTAGGTAAGCGGTAGTGGGCATGTGGTGCACGCATTAGCGTGCGTCGCCGAAGCGGTAAAATATTACTGACTTTGTTTTCATTTTCATTCACGTTCAGATGAGGGATCAGATACCGATAATTTTTGAGTATAAGGTGTGACAACTAACCCTGATGTTGTGGCAGCTACATTCATGGCGAAAATTTGGTTTCTTTCTTTGATCAACTGTAAAGCGAAGCATCCGTGACAAAGTTTGCTTCGGGTAAACAGACTCGATGTACAAAACGATCGTTTTGCAATACTCACGATTTAGAATGCTAACGACGGGTACTTATGTGCAGCCTTTCCAGAAAAAAAAAACTGGTTCAACACTTTACCCTTTCAGCTTCCTTTATGCGACGTCCTTGTTCGCCCAAGGGCATGCCACAAATGAACCATCCTTCTCGAAGCAAACACGATGTTATTGTTTATACTAGCTTCCACATAGATAACCGGCGATAATCGGTCATTGACAACTGTTCCAAAACAAACGTATTCACACCACTGAACCACCATACCAAAGGGTTGAAGCCGCTCCACTGCTATGTGATCCTTGTCAAATTTCTAAAGCATGCAACGAAAGCCGTCCCACATCGTACACCTATAGACCTCACGCCGCGGCTGGGATCAAGAAGCTTTGTAGCCGTACCGTACAGACGCGGCAAGAGTCATATATTCGTTATGACTCACTCATGTATTTCCTGGAACAAAGAAAAACTAAGGTACTGGACAAGAGAGCAGTGCCCACGAACGGCAGTTTGATCTTTCTTTCTATTTGAGCGGAACCCTTTCAACTGAGACTTGCATATCTCCTGACGCCCTTCTTCGTAGTATAGGTATCAAAGGGTTGAAGCTACGACACTGCTATGTGATCCTTGTCGAATTTTTTAAGCATGCAACGAAAGGCGTTCCACATCGTTCACCTGTAGACCTGACGCCGCCGCGACTGAAATCATCCACACGCAATGATTGGGTGCTTCCTATGTTTGGCTTAACCAAGTGATGACATCTTGACGCGCATGCGCGTCAAGGCTTGTAGACCGCGGGGGACCGATAGAAGCGCATGCGCGTCAACATTTTGTCACCACTTTTTTTTGCTAGATCGCAATTTATTAGAATTTTTGTGTTTATTCAATAGGCAAAACATTAAGACTTCTACAAGTAAAGTGGTCCGTGATCGGAGCAAATATGCGTCGGCCCAGCGAAGGTTTCCCAAACCTTGTAAAAGTTTCATTGAAATTAAACTTCGACTTCTATTTCAGAACATACATATAAATCATAGAAATAATCATAAGTAATTAATAATAAGGACAATAACTTCAAGAAATACCGTTTCTACTTGACGAGACTTGTGTTTTTCGTTCAAACAATCAATGCAAAAGAATTCCCTGCATCTACTGCAACGCGTGTTGACTCTTCTTTTTTTTCGATGCTATAGCTGATCCTTGCTCATTGGACATGGCTGCGTAGCACTCCACGCACTTCCTGTTTATTCCTTTTGAACCTTCGAGTACCCTCTCCAGCACATGTCGCATTTAGTGGCAATGATCACTCGAAGTGTAGCCATAATCAACATTTAGCAGAGATGAGACCTCTTCCAGTTTGAAGTCATTCAGCCTGATATTCTTCACCACCTCTTTGTACAGCTTCCAAGCGTTTACAACAGCTGTTTGCGTGATTAGTTGTGAAAGTCCACTTGTACCACTTCATGGTTCAGCGCACAAATGGCCTCTATGATGCCATATGATCAGATAGATCGACGAAATCCTTCATTTCGTTGTAGTTGACGACTTACGGTTTCTGATACCTTCCCACCGCTGCGTGATGTTTTGTAGGGATCATATACAAGTCCCCTCTATCTCTCCTACGTGGCGCGCGGCTTGTCTTCACTCCCTTAACAAGGCACTGTGAACTCACATATTCTAGGTTTCACTAATAAGAAACAGTTTGTCTTACTAAACCCAATTCTTCCTTTCTTCAGCCCTCTAGGCCTCTAGAGAGCAATTTCCAATCTTTGCTCTACAAGCGCATCAAAGCTGTTGCTAAATCGCTAGGAGGGAGCAGACAAGTAGAGCATTCCCTGTCGACTACTCTTTTCATTTACTAACATAAAACACTTTTGATGTTGCCTCTCAGCTTTGGCTTCCAAAAAATGTTCCTCGTGGGACACCTCGACGCGCATGCGCGTCAAGATGGAAGTGCCCGCCAAAACGCTCATGTCCCATGCGGCCAAAAAACCCAAAACGCGCGCTATCGTCAATAGGTTAAATTTGTGTGACCCTCACGTCATTCATAGTTCTTGATGCCTTTTGGATAAAACCTAATCTACGTATCATTTCAAGCAGTATAGAACTATATCGCGATGTACTGGTACCACTAGCTTCCCAAGGGTGTGGTGCAGTAGGGACGAAAGTGTCGCGTCGCGTCGAGAGGGACGCCGCGAGCGAAGGAATATAGCAGAATGCAGAGGCAGACAAGAAATACAGGAACAAACGAACTAACGGTAGAATCATAACTCAAATAAGGATCGCATATCGATTGCGATGTATGAAGAAGGCGAGAGCTGTAATAACGGCGAACGAATGGTCAGCGACAGCCGCGCGCGGCGAATCGATTGCAGTAAACCGTTCCTACTGCCCGTCTCCCGCTTCCTTGCTCGCTGTAAACACTAATTAGAAGTTCAGCTAATTTTAGTGTGTTTCATGCAGCTAAGCGAGTACAATAAGGCCCGTCCATGTTCTCCAGTAAGCAGGTGTGCTTTGCCACAGCACAGAAATTCGTATTCTTGGTCGCTCTGAATAGTGGCTACCGTACTTGAAACTGTTCTGTCAGCGGGTTGTTGGATTCTTTTCGTTTTTTTCTATATGTCTTTCGATTTGATGGCTCATGGTTCCCACAATCAGCCATGATCTAGCTGATTATGGTAGCTGCCTTGACTTATTTCTGTGGTAGCTGAGCTCTATTACAATAGAGTAGGAGTTTAAACGCCAGGCGCTTCCAGAAAAGAGAATTTGGACCTACAGGAAGTTTGGAGCATATTAATGTTACGATGGTTGCACCAGAAGACGACGTTTGAAGTCGCAATTGCTACGGGAGCTGCTTGAAGATATTAACCCGTATTTCGGCAGAGGCGGAGAAATGAAGCTCATGGGAAATTATTCTAGGAGAAGTGTTTTGAATTGAGCTCTTCTCAAAAACAAAGATCCCATTGGGTGTGTATTGCACATCCTGAATTGAAAAATGACAGAATTGTAGACGTAAGTATTATATATTTCAATTTTTCGCTTTTTCATTCTCATTCGTACTCGGAACCAAAAACTACTGGCCTATCTTGAGCATATTATTGTTTTCGAAGTCCCACCTTGACGTCTGTGATCGTACGAAGTTTGTCAAGCTTCATGCATAGCGTAGGGGTTATCTTCTCCCACCTTGCGGATTCACCATTCATCGAAAGGTGGCGACTGCCTGTGCATAGGTCGCTCAGTGGTTGATCTTCCCTCTCTTTAATGAGTAGATACCCCTTCCCTATCTTCCCTAGTGTGCTCAACGTAAAATTGTCGAAATCATTTCAAGTAAGGGCGCATTCCAGACATACTTCCCCACTCTTTCTTTTGCTCTCCTATTTATACCGCCACCTCCTCATCAACCTATAGGTAGAGCGCGTAATGGATTGCCAATGTGCGTTCTATACTTCTCGGGACATGGCCCACCCATCCCACGCTTGACCCGGTCTCTCCAGGCGGATCTAAAGGAGCTAAGGAATTTCGTGACAGACATATATAACGACAGACGACAGACGGAGCGTTTTATAGTAAGTATGTTCTATGAACTCCTCTATCACTCTTCTATAGCAGGTTACTAGAAGACTTTCGATCTGGTTTCCTTGGATTTTTGCAAATTGTCGGCTCAATATTATAAATTTGATGTCGGTGATGTAGCGACTTCCCACTCCTAATGTTTCACCTTCAACAGATTGCTTGTTGGTCAGCCCACAGACTTGTCTAGATGCCCATCTTGCTAATGGTTGGTGTCGTGACGAGGTGCCCTCTACCATCTGCATCGGCGTTCCCACACCCCAGTCACGGCAGAACGTGGGTATTCGGGTGCCCACACACCCCTAAGGGGACATGCCATGCCGAGGAATGCTAAGGGTCCTGCTGCGGACTGAAGAAGGGCCTAGTCCCCTGTCGCCGAACTAAGCTACCAATCACAAGTGCCTCAAATACTCTCGGGGTTAATCCCGTGCAACTACATAAAAATAATAAGACGCCACATTTATATCATATATGGGTACAACGTGAGGAACTTCGAATGATGTAAAAAATGGTAAGTGAAATATCATGATGCAATTGCATTATACTAAAAACATACATGAATAAAACACTTGAGCGATTACTGACCTGGATACGAGACGAGAGGTGATGAGAAGAGCAGATGAGTTGAGAGACGATGATCGACGGTTACGGGAAAAGCCCCTGGGACGGAATAAAGGGAGCACGCGACGATCCACCAGCCTCGCACGACGAATGCATACAGACGACTGACGGGAGTAGATACGCAGCGAAATGTTATGCTTACAACTAAATTCCCGCGTTTCCGGCAGTTTCTGTCCTTCGCGTTAGGACCGAAGGCGAGTGGACTGGAGCGCGGTTTCCTCCCGACGCGTGCTGTAAACCGTGGAGGTCGTGCGAGAGGCACGACAGTTGGTTTCTCTTCTAGACTTCTAGACTCCCAGCAAAATGGAAACAAGTCGCTCAAACCCGCCACGAAAGCTACTTCAGCGACCACCTTAAACTGGCGACTCAAACGAGTCCACGCCTGTTTACGTGGATTTCAATGGTTGCTTCCACGATTAGAAAGCTGACCCATTCTCACTGAAAATGGTTACGCGTTACGCGCCTATTACGCTGTTCCCTCGCTCTATTCAATGTGGACGAAGGAGTGATCATGTTTCAAGCCGCAGGTAGCCGTGTGAAGAAATCAGTCGGCCTAGCTGTTTCTCGCTCTTCCCCATGTTTTGTTTACGAATGGTGTGATAGGACTCTTAGCATTCGCTCTCATACTTCGCTGAGCGACAGTATTTGTACCTGGATTCTCAGGCGAGTGACACTGTTACGCGGCGAATACCGTAATCTTTCACTGAACACCTTTTCCCATTGTGCGCGACCAGATGCCGTGAGCACGGCATACCGTTCGGGTAGAAGGACCCATACCTCACTTTATTTGCCACTAAAACTACTCCAACGAGACCTCAGCAGACAGAAGCTCAACCTCGAGTAAACCTTTCTTGGCAACGCGGCTCTTCAAACCTCCTATGTTTTTCAACGTAAGTCGATCAATTTCGATGCTCTAAACCTCTACAGAGGAATTGTAATTCTCACTATTCAAAGTCGCTGCATGCATGCCCGGTATGCTATTGGTGCCAGTTGTTTCATGAAGTTCAGAGAGATCGTTCGAGCAAAACACATATTTGCTGAGATCTGCATTCTGCACCATTTGTTCGTTTGTATATCAGCACTATTTGTTCTGCATTAGCAGCTGATAAGGCCTGGGAAAGCAGTTGGCATACTATTAATAAGTGGTAAGAGCAATTATTCCAGTGTGTCATCCTGGTTCGCTCCCAGGTTAGCTCACCCAGAAGGTATGAGATGCTGGATGGGATCTCGAGCGGCATACTGCTTCATAGGTACTAGGACAACCCATCCTTGTTAAACATGCAGTATCTTCCCCAGCCATGTCTTTTCTAAGCGGACACGCACGTCAAAGGACCGAGCATCTGATACGTTCAATCCGAACTAACTAATGGCAGTCACGAATTCAAACGACTAGGTCTCCGATGTGAGCTCGTGTCGAAAGACTCGTGCCACGAGTCGCGCCAAAGAGTTCATCAATTTCGTGCTGCGTTGGTGTAATTACGTAGCAGTCATTGACATGCCGACAGTACATAATGAGTATACGTGCTTAACAGGTCTTTCTAAATAATCTTTTCATAATACAGATAGCTAGAACCGGTGCTCTCCGCTGAACCACAGAAAGACCTCGGTTCTGGGAGAAGTACTGCTCGCTCCACTCGAAAATATTACAGTAATAATGTACACCAGCTGAATTTGAACGTCACCACTTCTGCTTCATGCTCATACAGCACGAAACTGCTTGGAGAGCTTCATTGTTGTTCACACCCGTATAAAACGCGATTACATCAAACGATTCATATTGCAGTTCTCGAAGCCCACAAGAACGCAGACAGCCAAAAATTCGTTGGTGTTGGCCAGATGTGAAGGTACGTATCGGAGGAGCTAAACAACAATTTTACTGAGGAACCAGGGAATGCGCTCCGTTGGTCTTCCCGCACAGCTAATGATTATTTTGTGATCACTAGCATTAACTGAGCTTTCACCTCCGTTGGATAACTTATGAGTTTTGGTCAGGCTAAAGAAACCCGGACACGAAAGAGAGTTACTTCACTCTTTTGATCCAGTGGACCGACGGTCCTTCAAGACGGCTTCAGGGAAAGATGTACAGAGCAGTGTTAAAACCCACCAGGCTCCAGGGAAGCAAATGATAGCAACTCCACTCAGCAGGGATGACAACGATATGGGCACGTCCTGAGAAATGCCATGATCACCCAGTAAGGAAGACAATGGAGTTTGAAGACGAGGAAAAGCGACTGCACAGAGCCTCAAAGAAAGAATGAAGGGATGTAATCAAAAAGGACCTTTACGAAACCAAGGTTAGGGAAGTAGATGTCGTACATGGAAGGATGCGACAACGTCCCAGGACAACGGACCCTGTGATTAAGCTTGATTAACGCTATAGAGAAGAGAAAGAAAACATAGATAGAGCGCGGGCCGCTGGAACGTGAAACTGGACCGACATTATACAATGGAGTAAAAAGAGGCGAGCGGCCCCAATAGGTTACATGAGAGAAGTCGTTTAAAACCAAGGTTCATTACTAACGAGACTTTATATGCAAAAATCACAGTCAATAATAAACTTAAGCACACCACCAATGTTACAAGCGCATTCAATCCACTTCAAGATGAAGACAAATCTGAACGCACACAGAACAGATAAAAATGTCGACAAAAAAGGAAGTAGTTACTGTTGGGGAAGGGAAACGAGAAATTGAGCACACCTCAATGCAATGGGATGCAATGCAATGCAGGGACTACTTTTTTATCAGCCATCCAACAAGGAGTATTCAACTCAGCTCCTACCTGCAACTAAAGCGAATCCTAAGCTGCAAAAGATGAAAGAAGGTAAACTGCTCAAGTTTCTCTGGAGTGGTGAAAGATCCCCAAAGACCACATTGTTCTTCGATGAAAAGTGAATCGATGGTAATTCAGCAGGAGCGTTAGCCTCAGAGGACTTTATCGAACGTTGATGAAACACTTCATAAGAATAACAAGGTACAACAATATCATAACAGTAACCAGATTAAATCTTCTCTGAAACGATGGCTTCCTTGATGAGCATCAAGGTGGGCACCTCTTCACCGTCAACATCACGATATTCTATGATTGCAACTTGCCCATCTCCAGCTCCTTCAGCCATACGCTCTCCTGAGAACATAAGCTTGATGCGAAAACTCAGTTGTAATTCGAATGATACATGACGAGAGGTGCACTTACCAATGAAGAACTGCAGAGACTTCCAGCGTTTTTTGTCAAGGAGAGAAATAACCCAGGCTTGGATCTTTTTCTTGAATGAGTCGATCTCATCCTTCGACTTCCCCTCCTTCTCCATGTACTCTACAACCTTTTTCATGAACGACTTTACGTACGCTTTGAAAGTCGCTTGGTCTTCATAACAGTTCATTTCCTGAATAAAAAATAACGATACATCCAACCCTAGATAAACAAGTCGAAGCACTTAGTCTTCCAGCGGATGGCTTACCAGCTACAAAGAAGACTAACCTACCACTAGCTTGTGGTTGAGAACGATGTCGATTCCACGCTCCACAACCTCCTCAGATCCTTCGTCTCCATCCTCGCCTTCGGCTGAAGGATTGGCACCCGGTAACATAATCTCCCCCTCCTTGCGAATGACATGCCTTCCCTTGAACTCATAAACAAGGTCGTCGACGAGCTTCATTGGAAATGAGTCCGACGACAATTCATCATCTGAACAGGTGAGATTACTCTCAACCGATTAACTGTAGCAGAGCAAAAAGTGGTAACAAGAAGGGTACTCAAGCCACCATTAAAACCATAGCTCATGCATATGTTCTTCCACGGTTAGACTCGTCAAACAACAATTGCCTAGACTGCTAACGGTGTCTGGACTCCTCATAAACGCAGAACGCGCTTATAAGGGCCAGAACATCGAAGGACAGAACAGGCTGTTGCGCAACTCAAGGAACGTGGTCACGATAAAAAAAATAATAAATCACTCACCAGTGAAGACATCCTTGAAGATCAGCATGATCGCAGGAGTTGCCCAAGCTAAACCTTCACTCCTAACCTCATGGAGTATTCATTTTATAAAAGTGAAGATAGTCACAAAAGAACAGCATAGAACGGCTTAACCGTTGAAAGTGACACGAAAATCAGAACAACAACATTTTATCAAAGGGAACGAGTCAAACATTTATCACTCGCAACATGCAACGCTGGATCAGTCGAATAGACCGAATCCAAGATCTTCATCCTCGGACTCTTCCTTCACCTCTTCCTTCTTAGTATCAGCTGCTGGTGCTGCTGCAGCTGGAGCGGCTGCAGCAGCAGGAGCACCTGCTGCGGCGAACTTGCTCGGATCAGCAAGATATTCTTTGAGCTGGGCGGCCTCCTTGAAATTGACATCGGTGACGGCAGCAATTCCGAGCATGTTCTGCATTCCTCTGGCCAGCGAGTGGGCAACAGAAGCCATCGTCGGGTAATTGATAGCAAGCGAAACGGCGGCCACGTTGCGCACACCAGCCATGAAACGCTTGCGGAGCTCCTCGGTAGTCATGTCAAGGACTTCAGGAGTGTAGATAGTTCCATTGTCATAAACTTGGAGAACGACGAGACCGTAGGAGAACGGCGTCACTCCGAGCATGTTAAGAAGCGCGGCCTCGGAAGCTCCTACCTTCTCACCTACTTTTATGAGGTGCACCTCGTTCAAGATTTCAATGGTTCCTCTGGCGATCTTTGTTGGAATTTGTAGGGCCTGGAAGAACGAGGTCTTTTCGGGACCCATACCAGTGTTCTGCGGAGGCAGTTTAACATCACAAGGAGCAATGGCGCCAGCCTTGGCAGGAGCACCCTAAAAGAATCACCTGAAGGGACCTCAAAGCAATATATCAACGCACTCGAAAAAAAAANAAAAAAAAACAACACAAAAAGACAAACCCTTCTGTTTTCCAGCAGTTTCGCTCGGATTTCTCCAAGATCCTCCTTCGTGAAGACAAATCCAACATTTTGCACAATGTAAGGAAGAAGCTTCTCAAGTGCAGGGTTTTTTGATAAATGACCACGAATGGCTTTACGGATCATGGTGTTTTTTCCCATGAGGATAACGGCATGACCTAAACGTCAAAAAAAATATAAATCAAAGCTAGCGAATTAAACATCAAGCATCTGAAACTTTTCTGCAAGTAACAATAACCAAGTCGCAAAGAATAAAGTTACAAAATAGCAAATTACCTCTCATTGCTTGACGGATCTCCTGCATTTGTTTCGAGCCGACATTGTCTACGCCAACGAGAAAGCACTTCGGGTACTCATCAAACAACTCAACAAGCTTTAGGAAGTAGTTAGCCTTCCAGGTCGTTCTGTCTTCCCTAACCATCGTCGTGAATTAAGGATCGTGCTGAGACGTTTTAAAGACGAACTAAACAGTACAATTACTAATGGCATCACAAAAAAGTCAGGGAAGGAGCGCCAATCACACAGCTATAGAAAAGGAACGAAAATTCACTACGGGCGACATGTCCTGACCGCCTCTTCATCCAGTCACATAATGCAGCTCAATGTATAACTAATCAAATATTGTTTGTTACCCCACTCATGAACTCAGACCCGCTACGCTATCAGTTGTAGGAGTCAATAAAGTCTAAAGACGTTAATGAAATATGAAATCAAGATATGTAGCAGTCGACTAGAAGGACACTTATGAAGTCGATAAAAAGACGACGAAATCTGAATGAAACCTACCCAGACATCTGTCAAAAGTGGACTGCCAGAAAAAAAAACAAAATGTAGCCGTCAGCACCGCTGTTTCTGACTGCTACGGGAGCGCAGTAAGGAAAAGCTAAGCTAGGAGCGATTAGAGCGCTAAATATAAAGCGTAGAAATGAAATCGCACTCATGTGACACACACTGTGGCCCAAATCTACATCCCAAATGAGAAACGCCGGGCGAGGTTTTCGCAAGTGCCCACGATTTGGGTTACGTGACTGCTTGAACTTTCTCTGCATCCCTGACGGCAAGAGGCTAAAGCGCAGAGAAAAACACCCCAGGTAAAGTCCACGGCGGTGGTGGTGGGGGCCCTATTGGACAGGCGAGCACAACACCCAAAGATTACATTAGAGGGGAGTGCGCCAGACGAAGGCAGAAAAATGACGCATTCGGCAAATTTAAAGGAACTGAGTTCAAGTAGTCCGTAGGCCTACGATTCGAATCTAGTTCGCTGCGGGACCCTCGTCATCATCCCTTTGCTATGGCTTCATTTTGGCGCTTCGTTTGAATTTCTATGGGAAGAAATGGTGGAAAAGATGATAACATACGTTGTTTGAAAGAGAAGCTGATCATTTGGCTAAGGAAGATTGGCTTTTCACCGAGTGGGGACCTCCTCTAAATCACTGTCACCAGGCAACGTGAAAAAGTAGGGAGAAGCAAGATCTGCATTCTTACTGCTTCCTTCTCAAAGATTATCATAATACGGTGAGATCGAAGAAGATGACGTGGCTTTGGAATCAGCATAGTATGGTTGAATTAATGTGATCCTAGGTCAGCACGATTGATGAAAGGCAAGGAGCACACCGCTTTGCCTCACAAGACATTGTATTGGATCAAATTGGCTTCCAAATACGCTGCGGTCATGAATGGATGTTCATCACCTGGCACGTTGGTACCCGGTGTCGTGCGCTCCACCTCTCTTTTCAACCTAATAACCATGCGAGGCTTTTAGAAAATGGCATCAAATTGCATTGAGAGAAGGACTTCTAAAAAAAAGTGCCATTTCGCTTCAAACCGCATTTAAGTGAAGTTATACCATTAGATCAGAAGAAAGCATGCACGTCATCTCCATTATTTAAGAAGAGACTGTTTAGAATGAGTAGGTCGCAACTGATATTCTGTCTTTCAGTGTCTTTTTACTTATGAGCCTTTTCCCGTGACGCAGTCTTGTTTTTGAACATCACTACATTTCAATTAAACGTGTAATGGTTGCTTACTCTTACTGGTTTTTCAATTTCCAATTTTACGCATTTCATTTAATCATTTTCGCTAACTAATCGTTCCATACTCTAAAATAGCATCTATCACGTGTTGACAGAAATCCTAGTTTCGTCTTAACTCTGCATAATTCTTATGGTAAGAATTTAGTCGTATACTGCGTTTTTACTTTAGTGGGCGTTCATATGATTTAACAATTTTGATCTAGTTTTTACTTTTTAGTTTAAGCATTTTCGTAGTTTAATTGATGCATAGCCGCCTATGCTACTTCAAGTAGAAAACGGATCCTTTTCAGGGATGGATGTCGATAAAATTCTCGAGCAGGCCAAGAAAGATCTAGTCATGGGCACTAATACCAGCACCGATGACGCCGCGCCATCCATGGATTTCTTATTCGCGAAGGTTTGTCAGAGGTGACTCCACGTACTAACTAGTTTTTTACTTTTTTATTTCATTGACCTCTTTTCTCAAAGTACACCATGCGATGCAGAAAGGGTGGTTGTCCAAGTAGAAGCTTGGAATTGTTTTAAGCCGTGAAAAGACGGGGGGGGGGGGCTAGAAAGCTCACATTTTGGAGCATCTTAGGCTCGAAGTTAGTTAAAAGGTTGTAGTTCAGCTAGGCTAAGGTGCGCAGTCTGTTCGTCGTGTTGTAAATGAGGTTTGATTGCAATCGGCATCCCTTGAGCAGCATCCCTTAAGTCTGTGCTTTTTTAATCTTTTCGAAGACAAAGTGGTCACGAGCGAAATTGAAGTCATGTAACTGCTTTTTGCGTAATGGGAAACTTAGTTTGTTCGAGTAGTTTCTGATCCGTGACCATGGATGTGTTGCAGACGCTTCTTGGCTCGATCCCACCTGCACCTTTCCCACTGATCAGCCCACCGCCTAGCTAATAATTAGGATTACTAGCTAATGCCACTAAAAAAGAGATGTAAATTGTTAGAACCTCTTCTAGTCGATGCTTACCTTCTTGAATCTTTCCATTTTTTGTTTGTAGGTCAGCCCGTCTATTCTGGACCCGGTTGGAGAATACCCATGTTTTCTTGTCGATTATTGTCTTAAACACTATCTTGAGGAAAGCAAAAAAACTGGCGGAGTCACGAAAGATGTTATTTTCCATTCAATGGTGATAAAAAGGATCATGACCATCATACAGTGAGTTTGTTTTCAACGAAAAATTGGCTGGGGTACGTCGCATAACTTCGCCAAATGCGATGTAGCAGCCGATGCATGAAACACCGGTGATTCCTAAGCACTGCAATGGGAAATGTTGAAATTATTATTTTCGTATAAAGATACACATTCCTACTACTTCGATGCGGTATTGCCAAGAACAGTGCTTCTTCATTGCAGGGACTTCTCCTACAGTTTAAAACCTGAAACTCAACACCTCATCATTGAGTATGTCTTCCAATCTTGGGACTTTTCTGCAGATGTGGTCTGTCATGAAGCTGTGGATATTTTCTCAATGCTCCTGTCGAACCATAGCTTGCAATGTGCAGACTGCAAAATGAAGTAATTTGTTTTGCATCTTTAAAAGTTATTCAGTAGAAGCCAATGTCAACACTAGCGATCTACAGCCCTCATAATTCTGTTGAGACTAAACAAGAATGGCTTGGCTTGAAAAAAGTGAGGCCGCACAAATTTGGGAATATTTGTGCAAATAAATAAGGAAGGAAGAGAAAAGAATGATAAGTGTTTTCTTGTCTTAAGGCTTTTTTGATTATTTTCTTTATTTTAGGAAAGGTTGTGTATGGACTGACTCGCTAGTTATGCAAATACTTCAAGGTGAATCGGAGTGTCGTTCAAAATACAAATGTTTTGTAAGTGATGATCATTCTGAAGTTTCGCTTTGTGATTGCTTTCACTCATGACACAGGTACTTGCTTAGCTAATTCTTCTTCGAACTCATTCCACCTACACAAAACTCATGGATGAATTACTTCTTGGCAAGCTCTATTCACTCATTGGAAGCCCCACTCTGTCTGCTGTGGTATGAAATAGTTGTTTTCGAAGTTCTTTTTATGCATGTACTTGACTTTCGCAAAGAAGAAGCTATCTGGAAATTCACCTTTTTTCGGGCAGAGCTGCCTTGCACTCACCAGAGTTCGGACAGTTCTATTGTGAACTCTAATTCTCCATATTAAGATATGCGATATTCTATCATTTGATCTTGTGGAAACTCCACATCGATGGCATACTCATGTTAATCTTACACTGTCATGCCTGTCGTCCGAATCTAGGGAGGTCCAAAATGCTGTTAGGGTTGGTTCCATCATTGCTTCTTAGACTACCCCTTTTTTAGTGCCATGTATTCAGGACCGTTTATTGCCGAAACTAGTTAGAATAAAATTGCTAAAAGAAGAATTTCTGCCATTGTTAATCGACGAGATGAAGGGTATGTCTCAGTATCGTTTTTATCAATCAAATTTACCATAGCCGGAAGGCTGGCATTCACATCATATTCTTTGCGTATTCGTGGGTTAATCTTCCACAGCGACTCCAACACCATAGAAAACGGATTTGACTTATTTACCTGTTGTTCTGTGTAATAGGTCAGATTTTGGTCAACACTATTGAATTGATATCGTTAGATCGTCAGGTCTCCCATCCATTTTATGGGCAGCTTCTAATAGCTGTTACACTTTATCCACCAATTTGAGAAACTTCCTCTGCAATAAGATTCATACTTCAGATATACTTTGATTTCAGGAAAATCGCTGCAATTTCAATGCCTTTACTCGTTACTGTGTGTGACACGCTTTTTAATAATTTCGCATACGAAATGTGATTCCTATGAATTCTGGAACGACTATGTGCCCTATGATGCGATGCGGTATGCAGTACTACATCGTGATGTTCAGGTTGGAGCTATTTCCTTCTCGAAGTTATCAATTCAGTTTTTATGGAAGCATTTCCCAAGCTATTTTTCCATGCTTAACATCCCGTATTTGAGTTTTTTACTAGCTTTCTTTCTTCAGGTTAGGTTGGCTGCGTGGATGTTGCTCTGCGAGCATCCTCAGCGAACACATGCATTTTCCATTAATGATCTACAACTTATTCAAGTGTTTGTGAAGACAAACATGCTTGAACAAACACCAGCCATACGGCAAAAAATTATTGCTGGATTTAGGCAGGTCCGCTATAAAGTGCATTGTTTTGTTACTGTTTTTGTTCCCTAATGTTTACTGCATTTGTTATTATTACTGTTTTCCTTAGCCCTGTGTCTGTTCTTAGGTTCTCTGTCGAGTGGCTGAAACGAGTGAGCAAATTTTGAAAGGGAAAAGTGGTAACGCCGAACAAGTTGAGGATTACAATGACTTTATCAGGTATGTTGAGTAATTCTTCTCTAGGTCACAGTTTCATTTTCGGATGGATTAAGGATTGAGGATTAAGAAGTCAATATGTTAAAGCCGTTTTATTCAGAGTGTTCTCCGAGTTATGATCGAAAAACTGGTTGACCTGGAAATTTCAAGAATTTTCTCGTTTCAGCGATGTTAAGACTGAGATGAGAATCCACCCTAACGATAGTACTGTGATGACGATGACCCACTTGATAGTTAAGCGGTTATAGTTTGATGATCGTGCACCCCCTTGGGCATAGCCAGGATTGGATGATTTTGATCTTTGTTCCATGACTGCGCCAAAAATTAGCTTTTAACACCTTCATCAGCGATTCCCAGTCTTCTACCTAACAGCATTACAAATCTATGATTATCGCAGATTCAATTTCGGTTCATCTTTTATCGTTTCCACTACTGTCACTTTTTTCTAATACTCTTGTCGAAACTTTCACGCAAACTTCACTAATTTATGTGTTTTCAGTCAATTGTACAGACCTTATCCTTTCAGATATTTCATAAGTATGTCTTTTATTTCATACTCTTCAGAATATTCCGGTAACATAATGAATCACTCATGTATACTCGCGTATCATTACGGAATATTAACTGTGCTTCTTCTATTTTATTCATATTACCTCTCCTCTTTCGCATGTATATACCCATTACATTCAGCCTCTTTCACGATCTGGCCCAGAGTTGTCAACTCCCTCAATAAGCGTCATTTAGCTGAAAGCTCGCTCTGCCTTCTACAAGTGGAGCTGGAGCCTGGAAGGAAGTGATCTCTACACCAATGCAAGGAATTTCGAGTACTTTCGTCGGGAGTACTTGAAGTTTTCAAAAGACATGGTCGCGAGAGGTTTTCAAATATGACGAACGAACAGTGGGATGGAATGCGGGAGGTACGAAAACGCGTTGCCGATGGTGAAATCCGCCTTTCCGTGAGTGACAAAGGAGGGGAGTTCGTGGTTCTACCTCGTTCACTAGATCGTGAAATCACGGAACTCCACCTCAATGATACTTCTGTATACAGTCATTCCACGGAAAAGGCGTTCCTCACCCAATGTCACAGGCTGAATACTTTGTGGGTGTCAATTGGAAAGAATGCAAAATTGGATGGAATGTTGATTAGAAGATTAAAGTTGGATACACCCTCGTGCCCGGTTTTCTATAGCCTGATCAAGACCCATAAGTTGTCCAAGGGAGCTGAAAAGTCAGTTAATGCTAGTGATTATAAAATCAGGCCCATCATCAGCTGTGTAGGAGGACCAACGGACCGGATTTCCTGGTTCCTCAACAAAATTGTTGGTCAACTACTCCGATACGTACCCTCTCACCTGCCTAATACCAATGAATTTCTTGATCGCCTGCGTTCATGTAGGCTTCGAGAAAACTGCGTAGCGGAGTCGTTTGATGTAACTGCGCTTTATACGAACGTCAACAACGACGAAGCTCTCCAAGCGGTCTCAGAAATGCTGGATGAGCATGAGGCAGAAATTGTGACGTTCGGATTGAGCAAGTTTCACATAATGGCTCTGATCAAGGAATGCCTTAACTGTAATATCTTCAAGTGGACGCTCGCCATATATAGTCCAAGTCGAGGACTTGCTATGGGTCAGCGGCTAGCACCGGTCTTAGCTATCTGCTTCATGAGCAGGATAGAAAGGCCAGTTATAGCGCGCATGCCCATTATGTACTGTCGGTACATCGATGATTGTTGCCTAATAACATCAACGCAGCAAGAGATGGATGAATTGTTTGACATCCTCAACCGACAGTCACAGCATATCAAGTCCCGCACGAAGGTTGGCTTCTTTATCTGAACAC